TGAAAAGTAGTTCTAGACTCCCTTAGTGCTCTACAGGCTAAACGAAAATTTGATACATCCATCCCCATTCTCCTACCCAAACTTTGGCTACGCGAAATCTCTACAACAAAGATATTGTTTTTTTTTGGGGTCCCTGGTCATGTCGACGTACAGGGCAATGAACAGGCAGACACTGCTGCCCGGTCAGCAGTAAAATGACCTACCAATTTCCTATCGAGGTGTTTCCATTTCTGGACTATTTTGCTGCAATAGCAACCCACCTTCGCACCCTTGGCAACAACGTTGGTCAACTCTGCTGGGTAACAAACTTCATTCTATTAAACCGAGCATAGGTTACTGGCCGTTTTCTTGTCATCAGTGCCGAGTTGGGAGACCACTCTCTTCCCGCCTTCGCATTGGCCTCACCGTCTTACTCATGGTATCTCATGGAAAGAGGCACCCTGTTCCTCTCTGTGAGCAGTGTCAAGTTCCAGTATCGATTAGTCACATTCTGTTAGACTGCCCTCTTCTATCAACGAGAAAGCAGAATTTACCTCCACGTTGTCTTCGTTCTACTACTCTCTCTTTACCTTCCCTTCTTGCTGATGGACCCTCCTTTAATCCTGACTCTCTCATTGACTTCTTGACAACGACTGATTTACTCCACAAACTCTGATGAACTTTTCGCACTCCCCCTCACCCTTTCTAGTTCAGCCCTCTTGCGCCCTTTACCCTTTCACCATCCACTGCCACCGCTGTTATCCGAAAACCTATTACTCATCCATCTCCCTTTTGCCACCTGATGCCCTCGCTTCCCCTTCCTGCCCTGCAGCGCTGTATAGTCCTTGTGGCTTAGCGCTTCTTTTTATTATAATAATAATAATATAAATGCCAGGTTTTGATGTTATTACCACAAAAAAAGATTTCATTGTCTTTTGCTTTTTAAGATCTTTCAAAGCCCTGGAGAAACCTATAAAAAAATTTAATTTTAAAATTTTAAAATTAGCTTAACGGTGTCTATCATGAATAGTCGAATATTCCCACTTGATTTGAACCTTTCACATGGTGTGATGAAATGTCCACCAAGTCCAATATAATAATATGATGAATAATTCAAATACCCATGTCAGGTCTGGTAACTTGTTGCCCATAATTTATTAATAAAATGTGGTATAGGTATGTGTGTAGACCAGTGGGTTTAAAAGAACCGACAAGCGATAAATTAGACACGTACAACCCCTTGGGCATCTTTAATGGTTTTCAGTCACCAGTTTGAGTGCAAGATTCCTTTTTTTGTACAGTTAGTCTATGACTATCAACATCGCTGGGATCAGCCTCAATCATCCCCCCCACCAACTATAATGTCAACCTGCCTCCCTGTCATCGTCAATGGGTGGTGAATCAAGCTTGGTTTTCCTCTACCATCACTGACTGGTGCATCAAGCCTTCCTCCCTATCACTGTCACTAGTTGTGTGTCAAGCCTGCCTCTTGTTACCATCACTGGTGATGCACCACACCTGCTTCACCATCATTGGTGGTGCATCAAGACCAGTTCCCTGTTACCATTACTGATGGTCCATCCAACTGCTTCTCTGTCACTGCCACTGGTGGTGTCAAGTATACCTCTGGCAATACTCCATAAGGACAAGCAACTTGTAATCAGTTCAGGCAAATACGTTATTATAGGTAAATAAAAGTGACAACTATAAATAGAAGTAATTCATACTAGTACAAGCAAAGCAGTCAGCATTTACCATGATCTACAAGTACAAAGGTACTTGTGTCTACAATGACCTGTGACAACCATGATATAAGAACAAAAGTACCCATGTCTATCATGATCTACAAGTAGTTAGTATAAAAGGTACAAGTGTGTACCATGATCAAGTAAAATTACAACGATACCTTGTTTATAGTTGAAATTAATATTGCATTTGAATAACTTTTGTGATTTCTTAATTATAAGACATAGCATCTGTTCTAATCCTTGCAATGATCTTGGGATACAGTATCGTGTTCAACTATAAACGTTGGTTTAACAGGTTAAAAAGCAATAAGCAGGAAATAATGATGGTAAGTCTCACTAGTGGCTTTGTTTCCAATGAAGAGCAAAGCTGCAGAATGTATATTATCAGGCAAAACTGACGCATGACAAGAATCAAACTACTACAGTATCTGACAAATTTCAAGCAATACAAGTCAGATAATATGAAATGGAACAATGTAAGCATTAATTATGAGTCAGAGATCAATCATAGCATGTTGGGCCAAGCAGCAGAAGCAACAAGAGTCACTTACTTGGGATACACTTTTCAGCAGCATCACCCTGGTATCCCGGCAGACACTCACAGGCAATGATCCTCACTGGCACTGTGTCGATCACTCGGCACTCGGTGTTCTCACCGCAGGGGTCGAGGCCACACGGGTCAATGCACTTACCATTAATGCATACTGTCTTACTTGGGCACTCTACATCTGACCTGCACCCTATCACCACTGGATCCAAGAAGAGTCACTTGTTATTATATTCCTTCCTATTAAAATGTTGTATATGTATCAGTATTTATAAAAAAAATGCTGCCATGCTAGCTAGAAAGTAAGATTTTCATATACTTACACATCTCACAACCATTATCAATGGTACGATTGAAACCAGGTGGGCAAGGACAATCTGAAATGTGGTCCTGGGTATGGCAGGTGGCAGGCTCTTTGCATAATTCAAGACTGCAGGGACTTTCACATCGTTGGTTGATGCAGCTGCGGTCATCAGGACATGCATCGTTAGACACACAGCCAATAGCGATACATTGTGTTCGTGGGTTGCCCCGTGAGCCAGGCGGGCAATAGCAGACTGCTTCATGATTAACTCCCTGGCATACAGCCTCCTTCCCACATGGCTCATTGTTGGGTCCACACACTGGCGCACATTGACCATTGCGACAGGCATGAGTTGTTGGACAGTCGTCATTTCCATAACAACCAATTTCAATACAACGAATCTCTGGATCACCTTCATAGCCCCGCTTGCATGTACACACAGGGTGGTGCTCAACAATTTCACAGTCAGCATTGGCACCACACTGGCATGGGTCTTTGCAAATGCCAGTGAAGCAGGCTTTTTCTGAAGGACAATCTGGGTCTACTTCACATGCTGCTTTAATTGGTGGTAACACCTCACATTCTCCTCCTTCATCAGTCACTTCACCATCAGCACAAATACAAAGCATTGTCCTTACAGGGAGTGTATCAACTACCTTACATTCAGCAGACTCATGACATGGCTCTAAGACCTTGCATGGGTTAACACACTTCTCATCAATACAAGCATGTTGACTTGGACAGTCACCATCTGTAATACATACAGGTTGTATGGCAGGTAGACACCCTACCTTGGGGTCGCCAGTCATTCCTGGTGGGCACCTGCACCGAGCAATGTGGTCGACGATCACACATTCAGCGTTGGAGGAACAGGGATCATATGCACAAGGATCTACACAAATGTTATTTATACATGCTCTATCACTAGGACATTCTGAGTTTGCCCGGCAACCGATAGCAAGGCACTTGGTGTAGCCATCACCTTGAAAACCTGACGGACAGCGACAATAAGCTCTGTGTTCCTTAGCGTAGCATTCTGACTTAGTAGGGCAAGGGTCATCAACGAGACATGGATTAGCACAGACCCCATCATAGCACGCTTGGGTGTCCTCGCACTCACTGTCATGCTGACAGCCAATTGGGAAGCAACCAATATTAGGATTACCCTGAAATCCTACTTCACAAGTGCAAACTGAACGATGATTGATGATCTCACAGTTGGCATTACGGCCACACTCGCAAGGAATGCGGCACATGCGGTTGATGCAAGCTTCCTCTGTTGGGCATTCTGAATCAGCACGGCATCCAGATGGTATTTCAAGTGCAATCAATTCACAGGTGCCCTCATCAGTCATAATAAAGCCCTCTGGACATACACAAATCATGGTTCTTACAGGGATGGAGTCGACCACATCACACATGGCTGTCCTGTCACAGGGGCTGAGTGTGTGGCAAGGGTTGGAACACTGCTCATTAATGCACGCTTGTTTGCTGGGGCAGTCCAAGTCTGCAACACATTCAGGCTTAGGATGTTCTACTAAAACTTTCTTCTCCTCGCATATGAATCGGGGGTCGCCATAAGGCATGTCGGTTGGACACCGACAGCCAATTGTGTGCTGGAAAACATAACATTCAGCATTGGGAGCACACAAATTGTCGTAGAAGCAAGGGTTCACACACTGGCGATTAACACAAGCCTTGTCTGTTGGACATTCTGTGTTGCTCCTGCAGCCGATAACTTGACATCTGACATAAGGGTCACCCTCAAGTCCACTGGTGCAGCGACACTTGGAGTGGTGATTCTCAGGGTAGCACTCAGCACTGATGTCACATGGGTCTTTTACTGCACATGGGTTTATACACACACCACTGGAACACATCGTGTCCAATGGGCACTCCTCATCCTTGCTACAGCCAGCTGTAATTAAATATTTTGATGAAATAAAACAAGTAACTTAACAGGTAAACAAAAAAAATTATTATAATGAATTGCATTAATCATGTTGGAAGACTGAACATACCTTTGTAGCATCCAATGTTGGGGTTTCCTTGGTATCCTGGGAGACAGGTACAGATGGGCCGGTGGTCACGGACATAACACTCTGCATGTTGACCACAGGAACATGGCGTTACACAGCGGGTGTTGAGGCATGCCTGGTCGCCTGGGCACTCACTATCCGCACGACAGCCCACACTTATTGGGAGCTCCACTGTGGGAGTTAGGTTTGAGTTATTATTCATTACTATTCATGTGCCAGCTACCAACACATTCAGATGTTAACATAGGTATGGTTACATAAATTCTGGCCAGATGTTAAAGTTGTATTTGTTGCTTAGTGTGATGTTAGTGTATATGACATTAGTAATATGCTGACAAGTTAGACATGAGAATGACAAAATGATTACTGAAAACACTCGGTAAACTTACGATAAAGATAAATATGGTAAAATTATAAAGGGCTGTTGAGAACAAAAATGGATAACATGCTTACAGTTAACACACTGCCCCTGGCGGGAGGTGACCATATGTGAAGGACAGCTGCAGGTCATGGTCTTGAGGGGTCTTGTAGCTACCAGAGTGCACACTGTTGGGTCTTGGCATGGCTTCAGCACCTGGCAAGGTTTCTGGCACCTTCCCTCCATGCACCCATACTCAGACTCACAATCAAAGTCTGAACGACAATCACGTGGAGTCTTTTCTCTACAAACAACTGTTGGAATGCCTTCAAAACCGACTGGACAGCGACATTCAACTCTGTGATCAATGCTGCGACACTCTGTGTTTGGTGCACAGGTATTATTGTAAATACACTGGTCTAAACAACGACCATTTAAGCAAGCACGATCTGGGGGACAGTCTCTGTTTGTTGAGCATCCAATGACCTTGCATTCTTTAAGAGGGTCACCACTGGTGCCAGAAGCACAGAAGCAGGTAGCCTTGTGAGCGATGGGTCGACACTCCGCTCTTGGGGAACACGGGTTGTCCAACAAGCATGGGCTGACACAATTACCATTGTAGCAGGCACGATCATCTGGGCACTGGGAGTTGCTGGTGCACCCAGCTAGGGTAGAGAGAATGCATGTGTTACTGTGTGCTTTATAGACACTTCTGGTGACTGCTCTTGTAGATATTAAGTTAAGCATCATATTAGATGTGATATTAGCAAATATGTAATGCATTGGTTAATCTTGTTGCAACAAAAACTGTTGCAAGTAATAAGTAATCTATACCACTTATCAAACATTTAATTCTACTGCCTAGGTTTATGCTGCCTGTTATGAAGCTATATATTAGGAAATCTATTAATTAAAAAGTAATCACATGTATGTAAGTAAATGTTAAATGGCTTACTAGCAGAACAAGCTATATGTGGGTTGCCCTCATAACCCTGGGCACAGGTACATATTGGCCTGTGTTTGATGACAGTACAGAGTGCGTTGACGCCGCAGTTGCAAGGGTCACGACACACTCCTCCCACACATGCCAAACCCATGGCACAATCCTTGTCACGTACACAACCTGTCTTCTCTGGAACTGAATGTTAGTTTTGTTAATACATAGTATGGTGAGCAGGCATGGGATGGCACCTTCTGTCACCAAACAGTATGAAACAACCTGTTTTTAATGGTGAGAGAAAGTGACATTCATAACTGTTGCTAGAGAATTTTTAGTTGGCACTGGTGAGACTACAAGTTGTCAAGGCATGGACAAACTTGCTCATTAATATTAATACTGTATAGGCAACAAAATAAATAAAATGTTAAAAGTTAATAGATTTGTAAAGCATATATATCAGAGTTTTATGAAAATGAAACACAATGTTAATGTGCTGCTTACTCAGTCTACACTGTGTATGTGCATCGCCCACTTGGCCAGGCAGACACTTGCACACCATGGCCTTGAAGGGTACAGACTCAACCACGTGACACACTGCATTCTCCCCACACACCTTAGAGCTACAGAGGCTCTGACAATGCTCACTGATGCAAGCCAGACCTGTGCCACAATCCTTGTCTTTTGTGCAGATGGGCTCCACATCAGGCTCACATCTGAATGTTGCATCGCCTCTGTAACCAGGAGCACAACGGCACTCTCCACGATGTTCAGCAGGAGTGCAGATGGCACTGTCTGCACATGTGGTGTATATACAGGGATCTACACACTGCCCATGTTGGCAGGTTCGGTCTTTTGGACAGTCAGTATCAATCTCACACTTAAGTGTCTGGCATTTGACATGTGGGTCACCATCTAAGCCAGTTGGACACCGACAGCGAGCCTCACGATTGACAGCAAAGCACTCGGCATTGATGGCACATGGGTTGTTGACATGGCACGGATCAATGCAGTAACTGTTGTGGCAAATGTATGTTGTCGGACAGCTGTCATCAGTTGTACATCCCTCTGGTGGAGGTTAAGTGAGTAGGTTAGCTTTGTCAATGTGTTTTGAAGTTCCATCTGTATTTATAAACAGATACATGTATTTTGTTCTAGAGAGATATTAATTTAATGTTAATATACCAATGGTCAGTCTTGTAAGTTACAAAATCCAGCAGTTAATACTGTACTATAATATTAAACCAAAGTACATTAGTGGAACAATATGTAGCTGGTGAATCCTTATGGACAATGTAAAATGTTGGTGTGTGTGTTTCTTACTGTAGAAACAAGCAGTGTAAGGATCTCCATCATAGTCCAGGGCGCAGGAGCACACGGCATGGTGATTGATAACGCGACACACTGCATTCTCACCGCACGAGCAAGGGTCGACACACTGCCCACCAAGGCATGCCAGGCTGTCAGGGCATTCACTGTCCCGCAAGCACAGTGCCTCAGGTGGAACAGTTACTACAGAAAATTACTCGTTAGTATTCATCACTGCTAAAATAGTAGAGTACAATATGTTCATTTTTTTTCACAAAGCCTGAAAAATATGAGATTATGTTAAATTGAGTTTTAGTACATGGAGATTTTTTGGGATAAAGGTACAGGCAAAGAAGAATTCATGAGTTTGTGATGACAAGAGGCATGATGGTGTTTAGGAGGAGAGTAAATTCCATACTTTTCCTGCACTGGACTTGTGCATCACCAGTGAACCCTGCTGGACAGGTGCAGGTAACAGATTTGATGGGTCGTGTTTCCTGAACGGTGCACATTGCATTGGAAGCACATGGCTTCTCCTGTTTACAAGGGTCTGCACAAACCCCACGCACACACACCAGCCCTACACCACAGTCATAATCAGCCATACAAGCATAAGACTGTGGTCTGCAAGCAACTCTTGGGTCACCCTTGTATCCTTCTGGGCAGCTACAAGTAAGGTTGCGATTGTGAAAATTGCAGGTTGCCCCCACACCACACACATCATCCCTGCATGGGTTGTGGCACTGGTTGTTGATGCAGGCACGACTGGGAGGGCACTCATTGTTGTTACGGCACCCTAGAGATAAGCACTGAATAGCAGGGTCACCATGTTCTCCTGGTGCACAAGAACACTTGGCTTCATGTTGTTGTACTGAGCACGTCGCTGAAGGTGCACAGGGAGAGATTTCAGTGCATGGGTCTATACACTGGTACTCAAGACACACCTTGTCACTTGGACAGTCGACATTGCTGACACAACCCACTGTAAGAAAAAATAAAGTTGCTATGAAAACTAATGCACAATGGGATTTAACTAATAAAAAATACTAGTATAGCTTACTCCAGTTGATTTAAATAATAATACTGATGCAAAAAATAGTCATCAAAACTTATTTTGTGAAAAGAATACTGTGACATCAGCATTAAACAGCAGTAAAGACTCACCCGTGTAGCAGGCCACATCTGGGTCACCAGTGTAGCCAGGAGCACAAGTACAATAGGGACGATGCTGAGACACTCGACATTGGGCATTGAGGCCGCAGTTGCAGGGGTCCCGGCACACACCCTCAACACACGCCTCATTATATAGACAGTCTCCATGGCGAGAGCAGCCGCCTTGTAATGGTACTGCAGAAAAGAAATATTGTATCAGCAGCATGAAGTGAGGAAAAGTAATAATTCTGACCAGAATTGGATAAATATATAGAAACAATTTTACAGTTTGTCACAGTTTTGATTAAAGAAATTCTGACTTACTTTCACGACATTCAATTTTTGCATCACCATGGTAACCAGGCGGACAAGCGCAGCTCATGGAGCGACGAGGCTTGGAGTCAATGACAGAGCAAATGGCACTAGGTCCACATGGCTTGTGTTCCTTGCAAAGGTCACGGCAAGTGGCACCTGAGTCAGTGTCATCTAGCCGTATGTACACGGCAGAAACTTGACTGTGGTAACGAGTTACCAGGGATTCAAGGATACATCCATGAGTAGGTGGGCAATCTTGATCTACCAGGCAACTACTGGGATCCTTAGGTTTATCACAGCTGAATCTTGGGTCACCATGGAGGCCAGGTGGGCACTCACACTCATATGTGTGATCAGTCACTTGGCACACAGCATTTGTAGCACAGGGATTGTAATAGGCACAAGGATCCTTACACTTCTCATTCACACAAGCTTCAAAGCTCCTACAGTCCTGATCAGCTACACACTCCACTAGCTGGCAAGATACATGAGGGTCTCCTGAGGTCCTGGTGGACACTGGCATTGTACCTGGTGGTTGATGCCGGTGCACACAGCACTTGGCGGACATGGGTTGTTCTTCCTGCAGGGATCCATGCAAGTGTTGCGATCACACACTTTTGATGAGGGACACTCTATGTCGGACTCACAGTCAACTAAAATGGAGTGAACAGAGTTTTTACAACATTGTCAAGTTTAGCAAAAATTCTTATAGAGTGGAACCCTGGTTATCGTAATTAATCTGTTCCAGAGGGGGTGACTAAACCTGAATCTGACGATTTCCGAATTCATTTTTCCCATGAGAAATAATGTAAATCCAATTAATCCAATCCGGACACCCAAAAGTATTAACAAAAATAATTTTTTTTATAGATTAAATATAGATTTACATACAGAAAAGAATGAGAAATCGAGTATAAAACAATAATATCACACTTAACTTTACTGAAGACGCTTGTTGGTGTATGGAAGATGGGAGGAGGGGAGAGGGCTAGAGTGATGCTCCTCCACAAATGTTTGCACCTCACTCCACTTTGCACAAATGTCCTTAATCTTTAAAGAAGGCACCTTCCTCCCTCTCTCTCTCTCTCTCTCTCTCCTCCTCTGAAGCAATTTCCTCAGTTGGTGCACATAAGAACATAAGAAAGCAGGAACACTGCAGCAGGCCTGTTGAACCATACTAGGCAGGTCCTTCACAAACTATCCCACTAACAGAATCGTATTTGCCCATCCCAATTTTCAATGCTTCCCAAGCAATAAGCTTTGATAATTATATTCACTCATGCGCAAGTCCCACTCAAATCAAATCGTGTGTGTGGGAAAGTGCCCTGGCTGGTGTGTGGGGAAGTACCCTGGCTGGTGTGTGTGGGAAAGTACCCTGGCTGGTGTTCATAAGAAAGCAGGAACACTGCAGCAGACCTGTTGGCCCATACTAGGCAGGTCCTTCACAAACCATCCCACTAACAGAATCATATTTGCCCAACCCAGTTTTTAATGCTTCCCAAGCAATAAGCTTTGATAATTCTATTCACTCATGTGCAAGTCCCACTCAAAACAAATCGTGTGTGTGGGGGAAGCGCCCTGTCTGGTGTGTTCTTGAATTCTATCGTGTTTATTGCCTTCTTTACCAAAGGGCTGGCACTAGAAGCTTGCTTTTGGCCCATGTTGGCTTATTTAGCAGTTGCAAGCACTAAAATGAATGGAATATTATGAAATGTATCTTATGAAAGCGTGGGATCGTGCTCACTGGCTGATAAACAATGACACACTGACCATAAATGGTGTGTTGGGCCACTCAGAAGCATTTGGGACGAATGACTATTACCCAGCTAAATGATGATCACCGAGCCAATATTTTGACAAAAAAATGTTACTATTTCCGAATATTACGAAATCCGGGGGTCCACTGTATATGAAAACTAATTTTTTCATAAAACTTAAAATTCTGTAAAATTAACTCTGCAAAATATATCAAATATAAGAATGCAACTATAAAATATTATTAATTTGAAAATGAAAAGCTGAAGACACAGGTATTCTTAATGGTGACTCATCACCATAGATGTGGTGCAAATACTTTGGCACAATATGCTGGTAGCAGCACGGAAACTTACTCTTCGAGCAACCCACTTGTGGGTCACCAACATAGCCAGGTTGGCAGTGGCAGACAGGTCGATGGTCGAGGACAGAACAGATTGCACTTGGGCCACATCCAGCAGGACAGGGGTTGCGGCACTCTCCTGACTCACATGACAACACCAGGGGACACTCAGCATCGCTTGTGCAACCTTTCTCCACATCAATCTTACCTGTGAGGTAGGAAAGATCTTAAGTGTGGGCAGGGAATGGATGGATGTGAGAACTATGTAGTACTCTACTACCATTTTTTTAAATAGAACAATTATTCAACCTTAATACAAAGTACAGTATTACACTTTTTAAAGAACTAAGATACAGCATTCCAAACCCAGTTTTAGTGATTTATTTTAAATATAATAATTCCATTATTACAGATGCCCATTACCCTTCTAGGGACTATAATAACAATACAGTTACCTATAAATGTATAAATAAATTCTATACTACTTACTTGGTGTGCAGGAATAGTATGGGTCTCCAATAAAACCTTCAGGACAGCTGCAGGTCATAGCTTTCATGGGGTGGTTGGGCAAAACCTTACATATGGCAGCAGAGCCACAAGGGTGTACTGCATCACACAGGTCTTGACACTGGTTGTCTATGCATCCCTGTAAACCTGGACAATCTTGGTCTTTATTACATTCTCTTGTGGGTGGTAGCTCACAATAACGGTCTGGGTCACCCTTGTATCCCTCCAGGCACAGGCACTCGGCTTGGTGATTTTTTACAAGGCACTCGGCATTAGCAACACACCGAATTTTTTGGCATGGGTCTGGCACTGCTGGTTTTGGCATGCCTGATGGGTGGGGCACTGAGCATCCTGGGAGCATCCTGTAGGTTGGCAGTTGGTGTATGGATCACCTGTGAAGCCCTCAAGACATGAGCAGGTTGGGCCTTCTGCTGTCGGTTGGCACTTAGCCCCTGGTCCACAAGGATTGTCAGACTCACATGGGTTCACACAGCGGCCATTTACACAAGCTTCCTTCACCGGACAGTCACTTCTCTGAGTGCAACCAACTGAAAATAGAAGGCAAAAATATTTTATTCATTCAAATTAAAAATTGAGTGATTCTAATGTCCATCCAAAATGATCATTGTGGAACTTGTGACACTTCCCAGTAAAGTCCTCCTTTATGGCAAAAATCTAAGACATCTACAATACAGTTCCTTTAAAAGTTACATTATAGCATTATACTCTACAATCAGCATAAATGAAATGTAGTTCTAAGACAATACAACAACTCACCTGGGGTACACAATAGATGTGGGTCACCATGATAGCCGACAGCGCAGGAACAGACACCACGGTGTCCCAGGGCACGACATATGGCCCCTGGTGCACATCCACTCTCCTGACAAGGATCGACGCAGCGACCTTCTACGCACGTTTGATCCCACAAGCAATCATACTGGGAGCTACAACCGGGGGTGAGGGTGGAAACAGAAATACACTGGGTAAAGGGATCTCCCGTCATACCAGGACCACACTGGCATAGTACAGTTGCAAGGGGACGACTTCCTTGTATGCTACATGTTGCTTCATACCCACATGGTCCCTCTTTACACAAGTCTTGACAGATCCCATCAAGGCAAACTTCTTCTGGACTGCAGTCTTTATCTGAGATGCAGTCAACGCTGGGGCGTGGCTCACATACTCCTCCTGAGGGACTGTAGAAGCCCTGGGCACAACCACAGGAACCTTGGTGATCTGTTGCCTTGCAGATCTGGCTGGTATGGCAGGAATTGTTGACTTTGCACACATCAGCACAGATACCATTAAGACAAGCATGGGTACTGGGGCAGGAGGAGTCAGTCCTACATCCAATAGTAAAGCAGGTGACATATGGGTTTCCACTATAACCTATCTCACATTGACACTCTGTGGAGTGGTGTGAGGAGTAGCACTTAGCGTTGACTCCACAGGGTTGGGAAAGAGAGCAAGCATCAACACACCTCTGGTTGTGACAGACACTAGTGTCCAGACACCCTTCATCACTCTCACATTCCAGTGAAGAACAAGTCTTGTACCCATCTCCCACGTAGCCTGAAGGGCAGTAGCAGATGGGACGGTGGTTGACTGCTCGGCACACAGCATCTTCAGCACACGGTTTATCTTCACATGGGTCCTGGCATTCCTTGTTAACACAAGCGTAGAACAATGGGCAATCTGCATCAAACTGGCATTCTGGTTGTGGTTCATCAATCATATGGCACTCATCATAAGCACTTCCTGTGTGCCCTGGTGGACACTCGCATAACACTGTACGTAACTGATCAGTTTCAATTGTTCGGCAAACAGCATTCACTCCACAAGGTTTCAGGTAGATGCAAAGATCTTTACACATTCCGTCGATACAACCAAGCTTTTCAGCACAATCAAAGTCTGAAAGACAATGAGATGTATGTGGTGGGAAGCAGCCAGTGTAAGGGTCACCCAAGAGTCCTGGGCGGCACACACAAGAGCTGGTATGGTGCAGGGCAGTGCAGGTGGAGCTCGGGCCACATGCTGGCTCCAGCAGACATGGATCCACGCATGACCCTCGGTAACAAGCTTTCTCCGATGGACATTCTTCATTGGATGTGCAGCCGATGGCATGGCAGGATGTGGTTGGCTGTCCAGTGTAGCCAGGGTGACAGGTGCACACAGCACTGTGGTTGTCAGAGGTACACTGAGCATTTGGTGCACATGGCCGACCTGCTTGGCATGGGTCGCGACAGTTGCCATTGTAACATTTTTCATTGTAGGGGCAGTGAGAATCTGTCTCACAGCCTACTGTGATAAGGGAGGACAGGGTGAGAGGAAGGTTACATGTGATGTATATCACAGTGCAGTATGTACAACTCAATTATGCAGATGTTAGATCATAAAAGATTACACAGTGCAGGAGCATTCCCACACTTAAGTTATTTAAGTTACATTACACATACATAAACCATTAGAAAGACAAACAAGAGACTAAAACTATGAAATATATAGAACATATCTAGAAATAAAGTGACAGTGGATGATGGAAGATTAGCTTACTTGCAGAGCAGGACACTTGGGGGTGGCCCGTGGTGGAAGACGGGCAAGAACATATGGGTCGCTGTTGGTGCACCTGACACTGGGCACTGGGGGGACAAGAGGTGGGGCAAGGGTGGGCACAGCGCCCCCCGTGGCACCAATGAGTGGGGCCACAGTCCTGGTGGGTGTGACAGGACTGGCCGACGCCCCCGATGGTGTCGTTGGTCACAACCCCCACTGGTCCAGGCACAGAGGCTAGGCACACACAACCAGTTAGTTACTCTAGCATATCCAGCTACACACAGGAAAGACAGTCCTCACAAGACCAGGCTACTGGTTCATTAGTAGCCCACTTGTTAATTGTTGAAGCAGTGGGTTATCAAGTTGCTTATGTTAACTAATACTGTTTAATAAGATGATCTACTATACAGTTAATATGACATGGTGATTAGCAAAGATACAGCAATTAAAATATAATTAATAAAGATGACACAGTGAAAGAAAAAAAAAATTCAATCACACAATGCTAAAGTTTCCATTAAGGTTACAGATGCTAGTGAAAAACATGGGGTGACAAAGTACAAGGCGTCTGGGAGTCAGGTCACACTACACTGTCTACTGTCCACAACCCACAACATTGTCCACAACCCACAACATTGTCCACAACCCACAACATTGTCCACAACCCACAACATTGTACACCACACACAACACTGATAGTATTATTAACCCTATATATATTTTCTTAACACCAGCCATCTCCCACCAAGGCAGGGTGACCCAAAAAAAGAAGAAACGCTTTCATAAAGTTTTTCCTTCTCATTACATTTAATAATTTATACAGGTGTTACTAGCCCCTTAAGTTAGTACTTAAGATAATTTTTGAAATGTCATTACAACAGTTTAAGAGAAAGGTGATGGGTAAGGCCTTTCAGATTAGAGTAAAGGCCTGTCTCAATGACAAGATTTGTTGTAAAAATACTGGGAAAAGGCATCAGAGGACAGTTACTTCTACATCTTGAGACACAATTGTATCCATTTACCTTACATTTTGTCAGTAATTCTAACATTATTACTAAAATACAGCACTGTACAGTACACTGGGACCCCCATGTCCGTGGGTCCAGTATCTGAGGGTTTTAGTTATCTGTGGTTTGCTGTGGCCCAAAAATAACCCTTAATTTTGCATAATAATAGCCCCAGAGTGCAAAAGTAATGATGGCAGAAGTTCTTCAAAACCTCAGAGAAGCAATGAAGTGTTTCCCATCAGTGAAAAAGTGATAATTCTCCACTTACTGTGCATAATTTACCAGTTAAACTTTATAATAGGTTTATCTGGAGAGAGTTCCGGGGATCAACGCCCCCGCGGCCCGGTCTGTGACCAGGCCTCCTTAGGTCAGTGTCCCAGGATGCGACCCACACCAGTCGACTAACACCCAGGTACCCATTTTACTGATGGGGAACATAGACAACAGGTGGAAAGAAACACGTCCAATGTTTCTACTCTGGCTGGGAATCGAACCCAGGCCCTCACCGTGTGAGCGAGAGCGTTAACCACCAGGCCACCAGAGCCTGGTGGTATGTATGTAAATGAAAAATCATGAGAACCCCCTATGCTACACTCAGAAATTCTGCGACATTAAGAAAGCCTTCAGATATAGATACACATGTATAATGCAATATGTAGAAATACATAAAATACATGCCTGGCCTGGGTTATAGGGGCACTGACCCATGGAACACCCTCCAAGAATACCAAAATTGGAATAAGCAACAGAGATAAACTTTACAAAGTCCAAAGACAAATTATATATTGCCTCCCAGTGCTAGAAAAAATAGTTATAAGAGAAGAAGCATTAAAAATGCCCTAAGTGGCTGAGGGGATTTAAGACAGGACATAACTACATATAAGGTCAGAAAATATACAGGAAAGAATAAGTTTCTTAGCACCGTTAACAGTGATAAAAATAAAACTTAGCTGTAACTGAAGAAAAAAATAGTGACAAGATATTAAAAAGTTCTTCATTATGTTTGGTAGAAGAAAGAATCGAGATCCACGAGGAGATAGCAAGTGCTGTCTGTCTATAACCATTGGAATTATTATAAAATCATGCGGTAAATTAAAGATTGAAAAAGGAACACCATGAGCACAGGTCTGTTCCTATAATTAATCACACCAAGTTATTTCTCTCACACACACAAATCAAAGTCTAAGTCCAAATAGATTAACCAAGAGTGTTTGAAATGATGGATGATGATATTGATGATCATGATGATGATAATGACAGACAAAAGCAGCGAGACAATATTATTTTACAGATAACTGAGCTTGGTAATCTGTGTGGGGGGTAAAGTTTGGCCAGATGTTAATAGATTTTTGTAAATTAGTTGAATGGCAGATATGGAGGATGGACAAGGCATGGAGTATACCAGTTGTGTCACACAGTCATGATGACCAGCACACTAGGCTGGACATTCCTAGACTGAATAATGACTAGTGAGAGGGACAACATTATTAACCCTCTCCTACCCATCATCCACTGCCTCTCACCACCACGTACTTCCTCATGAAGTGAAGGTATTACTTTTGTGAGGGAATGGGGGTGTAGTGAGGTAGTCAATAAAGATAACCCTAGGGGAATTGGAAAAGAAAATAGGGGAGTTGTGAGGTAACTATTACAATAAAGATAACACTAGCCAAAACAGTAATGATAATACTAGCCAATACAGTAATAACACTAGCCAATACAGTAATAACACTAGCCAATACAGTAATAACACTAGCCAATACAGTAATGATAACACTAGCCAATACAGTAAAGATAACACTAACCAATACAGTAATAACAACACTAGCCAATACAGTAATGATAACACTAGCCAATACTGTAATGATAACACTAGCCAATACAGTAATAACAACACTATCCAATACAGTAATAACACTAGCCAATACAGTAATGATAACACTAGCCAATACTGTAATAAAACACTAGCCAATACAGTAATAACAACACTACCAATACAGTAATGTACACTAGCCAATACAGTAATGATAACATAGCCAATACAGTTAATTACCAAAATAGCTACCAAGTTTTACAGTTTAATACACTAGCCAATACGTAATTAAAACTAGCCATACAGTAATTAACACTAGCCAATACAGTAATGAAACACTAGCCAATACAGTAAGAAAACACTAGCCAAACATGTAATATACAACACTAGCCAATACAGTAATGATAACACTAGCCAATACAGTAAAGATAACACTAGCCAATTTCAGTAATAACAACACTAGCCAATACAGTAATGATAACACTAGTCCTAATATCAAGTACAGTATACAACACTATCCAATACAGTAATAACAACACTAGCCAATACTTAATGATAACACTAGCCAATACAGTAATAACAACACTAGCCAATACAGTAATAACAACACTAGTCAATACAGTAAAAAATAACACTAGCCAATACATTTAATAACAAACATAGCAATACAGTATAACACAGGCAATACAGTAAGATAACACTAGCCAATACATTTAATAACAACACTACCAATACAGTAAAAAACACTAGTAATCAGTAAAAACAACACAAAGCCAATACAGTAATATACAAAAGCCAATACAGTAATAACAACACTAGCCAATACAGAAATAAACACTAGCAATACAGTAATAAACTAGCCAATACAGAAAAATGATCTAATAAAACACTAGCCAATACAGAAATTTGTATACAAAAACACTGAAATTCAGTAATAACAACACAGCCAATACAGAAAAGAAAAACACTGGGAATACAGTTATAACAACACTAGCCAATACAGAATAAAAACCCTAGCCAATACGTAATGATAACATGCCAATACAGTAATAAACAACACTAGCCATACAGAAATTAACACTAGCCAATACAGTAAGATAACACTACCCAAAATACAGTAATAACAACACTAGCCAATACAGTAATAAAACACTAGCCAATACAGTAATAACAACACTAGCCAATCAGTAATAACTAGCCTACAGTAATAACAAACTACCAATCAGAATAACAACATACCAATAATGATAAAACACTAGCAATACAGTAAAGATAACACTAGCCATACAGTAATAACAACACTAGCCAATACAGTAGAAACACTAGCATACGTAATTAACACTAGCCAATTACAGTAATCACACTAGCCATACAGTATAGATAACACTAGCCAATACAGTAATAATAACAACACTAGCCAATACAGTAATAATATACAACTAGCCAATACAGTAATAACTAACACTAGCCAATACAGTAATAAAACACTAGCCAATACAGTAATAACAACACTAGCCAATACAGTAATAACACACTAGCCAATACAGTAATAACACTAGCCAATACAGTAAATAACATACAGCCAATACAGTAATAAAAACACTAGCCAATACAGTAATAAAACACTAGCCAATACAGTAAAGATAACACTAGCCAATTACAGTAATAACAAACATATACCAATACAGTAATAACAACACTAGCCAATACAGTAATGATAACACTAGCCAATACAGTAATAACAACACTAGCCAATACAGTAATGATAACACTAGCCAATACAGTAATGATAACACTAGCCAATACAGTAATAACAACACTAGCCAATACAGTAATGATAAACACTAGCAATACAGTAATAACAACACTAGCCAATACAGTAAAGATAACACTAGCTAATACAGTAATAACAACACTAGCCAATACAGTAATAACAATGCTAGCCAATACAGTAATAACACTAGCCAATACAGTAAAGATAACACTAGCCAATACAGTAATAACAACACTAGCCAATACAGTAATAACACTAGTCAATACAGTAAAGATAACACTAGCCAATACAGTAATAACACTAGCCAATACAGTAAAGATAACACTAGCCAATACAGTAAAGATAACACTAGCCAATACAGTAATAACAACACTAGCCAATACAGTAATATACACTAGCCAATACAGTAATGATAACACTAGCCAATACAGTAAATAACACTAACCAATACAGTAAAGATAACACTAGCCAATACAGTAATGATAAACACTAGCCAATACAGTAATAACAACCTAGCCAATACAGAAATTTGATTAAAACACTAGCCAATACAGTAATAACACTAGCCAATACAGTAAAGATAACACTAGCCAATACAGTAATAACAACACTAGCCAATACAGTAAAGATAACACTAGCC